CGGTCGCCCCCCTCTCCCCGGCCAGGCGGGGATGACGGCGCCGGGCACGAAGCGCCAGATCTTCGAGCCGTCGCTGGGGATGGAGCACTGCGACACCATGACCATCGGGCTGCAGATGGGCAGCAACAAGGGCGCCTCGCAGACGGGCATGACGGTCTACGGGCTCCCGCGCCAGGTCTACGACCCCAAGTACTGCGGCGGCCCCGAGCTCTTCGGCCACGACGGCTACGACGGCCACGACGGGCTCTACAACTCGCAGTAGCCGCCGGAGCCGCCGCCGCTTCCACACCCCCGCCCCGCCCCACGCACCGCCCCGTCCACGCAGCACCGGCCGCACCCGCACCCGCGCCGGGGCCGGCGCCGGGATCCGCCCCGGGAACGGGCTCGGGGGGAATCAGCCCCGGGATCGGCTCCGGGATCGGCCCCGGGGCACCGGGACCAGCCCCAGGGGGATCGGCACCGGGGGGGATCGGCCCTGGGATCGGCCCTGGGATCAGCCCTGGGAAGGGTCTCGGAGGGAATTGGCCCCGGGATCAGCCCCGGGATCAGCCCCGGGGCACCGGGACCAGCCCTGGGATCAGCCCCGGGGGGGATCGGCCTCGGGGGGGACCAGCCCTGGGATCAGCCCCGGGGGGAATCGGCCCCGGGGGGATCGGCCCTGGGATCGGCCCTGGGAAGGGTCTCGGGGGGAATTGGCCCCGGGATCAGCCCCGGGATCAGCCCCGGGATCGGCCCCGGGCCACCGGGACCAGCCCCAGGGAGGGTCTCGGGGGGATCGGCCCCGGGGAGGAATCAGTCCCGGGATCAGCCCCGGGGAGGATCAGCCCTGGGATCGGCTCCAGGATCGGCCTCAGGGGGGAATCAGCCCCAGGATCAGCCCCGGGGAGGGTTCTGGGGGAAAACAGCTCCGGGATCAGCCCCGGGGAGGATCAGCTCCGGGACTGGCTTCAGGATCAGCCCCAGGAAGGATCAGCTCCAGGATCGGCTCCAGGATCAGCTCCGGGATCAGCCCTGGGATCAGCCCCAGGATCAGCCCCAGGGGAGACAAGTCCTGGGGAGGGTCCTGGGGGAAAACAGCTCCGGGATCAGCCCCGGGATCGGTCCCGAGCTCAACAAGCCCTGGGGAGGGTCCTGGTGGGGGGTTGGACCCTGGGATCGGCTCCGGGAGGGATCGGCCCCGGGATCAGCTCTGGGAGGAGGGGGGGTGACCCCACGATCAG